TTGAACTGTTTCCACATAAAATGCGAAGAATTGAGTGAAAATGTAACTAAATTTGAGGAAGAGAAAAATTTGTTTTGCAATAGGGAGAAAAGAACTGAAAAAAGGTCTCGAAAAAAAAAAAAACTGAAGAACTTGCTAAAGAGATGCCGATAACTTAGCTTGACATTTGAGATGTATAAGAGGATAGAGATTTGGAGGAGGAAAAGTGGGAAGTAGATGCTAGAATAAAGGCTTTGGAGCAAAAATTGAAACAATTAGACGACAGTATGTCACGTCGAAAGGAGAAAATGGCGAAAAAGCATGATGTGGGTGTTTCATTGGTTAGATCACAAGGATTTGGAGCTAGAGATAACGGAAGGTTTTGAACTGAATCGTCAAGCTTCTGGTGGTGTTAAGGAGACTGCAATTCGTGAAAGTTTAGGCAGTGAAATCTCGACAGTAAAAATTTGGACCCGACCAAGGAGAAGCAGCTTTCAACCAGGGCTCATTGAGGTTGTGATTCAACTGGAAATGCAACTGGTCAATCAGAATGGGAAGGTATTACACTTTATATGGACCTTTGCGTCACTTTTGTTAGTTACCTTGCACTATGCCTACCGAGATTTTGGTTACAGTTATTGAATGAAAACTAGTATATTTTTGTGTTCATGTACACTATTTTTGTGTTCATGTAGCACCTGCTGTTGTATTGTGGTGATCCTAAATTAGAGCATGACTTGTTATATTGGTTATTTCTAGTCATCAACGATGTGTAACGATGTCTAGCTTAACCTCCTGCCTTTTAAAGCAAATATCTGGAAGACAAATATCGGTGACTTCTTGGCCGAACAGAAGCAAATGAAGTCAGCTAGAAAGTGGAGTAGAAGTCTGATTTAGCACCATGTTGTTTAGTGACAGTTGGATAGCATCATCCGATTGATAAACAGTGTGTATAGCCGGTAGTCTAGGAGCTAATACCAGCAGTTTTGAAGAAGTTACAGGCCATTTTTCACGCTGAGATCTTGATATCCAAAAGCAATCCAATGCATTAGAATGTTGGATGTATTACTTATAAAAAAAGGTTATATACTTTAAGTGAACTTGTTGTGTGATTCTGGCACTGATATATGCATCAGATTTTAAAAAGAGCTTTGCTATGCCTCTTAGCAAGGAAGAAACTATATGGAGTTTAAGTCCCTTATTAACAGTTTGATTAACAATGAAGCTTTTTAATATTTACATCAATTTGCACTTACCCAGCTGTTTAATGTTCATAATCTTTATCTTCATTTGGTAAACAAAAGACAAGATCTAGTCAAGAATTAGATAGTGATGAAAAACAGTCTTTTGCTCATGACTATTCAAGAAATGCAGCAGTGTCCATTAGGCACTGTGATGACGACAAGTCAGAGGGAAGTGTGATTCTCAACTTTCTTTTAGAAGATGTGATTTATACAAAGTTAATGGGATTAATGATGAGAGTTCTTTAGATTCAGATAATGATCTATGCAGTGCAAGAATATGGATCTGTTAATCAAAAGAACTAGAGAAGGTAGAAGTTGTATGAATACAATAGGTGCACTATATCAGCAACAAATTTCTACAAGCATATCTTCCAAGGGTCTTTCTTTTACCAAGAGTCAGCAAGTGAGTCAATCTGATAAATTCAGGTGTGTTAATTACAACCTGACCTTTCTAGTGGTAACTTTATTCGCCTGATTATTGAACTGCTACTTCACCTTTATAGTATAACTATAAAGCAAGTATTGTTGGAAAACTAAGAATTCCAATCATGTATTATTTATCTAGATAAAGCACGATAACTATGTTTCTTCCTATGGCAGAACTTGTTGATTCGCTGTTCTTTTTATTGATATATTCACAAACAGCGACACCAATTTGTTTGAGACTGAGGCGTCGTTGTTGATGTATTCACAAATAGGTGGACGCATTAATGCGTCTTTTTGGTCTGCAGAAAAAGGATTTACAACTCACAGTTGATAGAAATATGAAATCAGAACAGAAACTGTATTAATTTTGTTGCAAAGTGAAATTGAAGGAACAATGAAATCGGGTACTTAATTGCGGTGTAAGGGCCTTAGCCGTTACATGTCATTGGTTTGACGGTTACTACAAATTTCTTACCAAATAAATTAGTCATGTGAATTTGAGACTCGCATTTTGTTGTCAAAAGTTCTGCAAAATAGAAGTCTCAAATTCTCTTACCCTCTCGACGTCCTAATAGAATGTCTTCTTGGGTCGTATGCAGCAATTTGAACTCGACCAAGGATAAGCAGTTCTCACCTGGGGCTGACATTGGTTGTGATTCAGCTGGAAATGGACATGGTCAATCAGGAGGTGAAGGTATTACACTTGTATGGATCTTTGTGATCTGTAACAGTTACCAAGTACTATGCCTAAGCTATTCAAATTTTGTTAATTACAATTGAGTGACAATATGTGCGCTATGTACTTAGCACTTATTAAAAATAGACAATATTTGTGCTATGCTCAAGCTTTACTTATCTTTGTCGGAATGCTGAAGCTTTTGAGATGCTATAACTGGAAAAAGGAGGTTTCAATATGAAGATGAAATGAGAAGACTGTGTAGGGAATAAAGACAAAATCAGAGAGGTTTATGAGAGAGCAATTGCTAATGTTTCTCCTGCTGAAGAGAGAAGTTATTGGCAGAGATACATCTATTTATGGATTAATTATGCATTATATGAAGAGATTCATTTAGACATGGAAAGGACTACAGAATATAGAGTGTCTCAAGATGATTACTCATAAGAAAATTTGTTCGCCAAAATCTGGTTGTTGGCTGCAGAGTTTGAAATTAGGCCCTTAAAACTAAGGGATGCAAGATTGATTAATACTTGGAAAAGCAATTGGAAAGGCTCCTAAAGACAATAGGAAGTATTTTGAAATGGAACTTCAACTTGGTAATGGCAAGGTAGACAAAGTACTTGATGGTTATTAGAAAATTGCTATGCTTGGAGCAAATTTGTCACATTTTTTGGTAAGTGATTGCGTATTGATGGGTTTTCAATGTCTTTGCCTAATATTTTGATGATCTAACAAACTTACTGTCAAGAACCAGATAGGGAACCTGACACACTTGGTACACATTGCAAATGAACGAATTCCAGTGTGAACTCCAGCTAATGTGAACTGCTGCAAGTGTAGAGAATAGAGGAACAAGACAGGGACCTGATCCCTTGGTGTTCTCTAACAGAAGTACAAGTCAACTATACAACTGGAAAGCAACTGCAGAAAGTAACTGCCTGCAACTGTACACGCGACAGTGCAGCAGTCACTTCCCATTGGGAAGAGGCTTGTACCAACCAAGAATTGACATCATCCTTGGGATGTCTTTGGTAGTATAACAACATGGTGTAAGCCACAAGATATTCACTTGAGCATTTAGTGATATTCTCCCAAGCATTAAAGATCTGATCCAGCATTGAAGTCACAAGTGTGTCAAGAACAAGAAGACAACTCCACTAAGGATCAGTTCCACGATGAGTTTATGTGTGTCCGTAGTTGAGTTGTAATCTTGTTGTTTGTTCTTCATTGTAACTCCTATCTTGCTTCCTTAGAAACTTTTTTTTAGGAAACTCAAAATCATAAACCTTCTGAGTTTGTGTTGTGACTAGAGTTAGTCATAAGTTAAAGTTTTTGTAACTAGTGAGTGACAAAGTGGCTTGTGGTAAGTGTATCACAAGTTAGTTGAGTTGAAATCTTTGTAATAGAGTTATTACAAAGTGGCTTGTAATAGTGTGTCTACAAGTTAGTGAAGTTGAAAGCCTATAAGTGTAGGTCGTGGTTTTTGTCCCCTTGAGTTGGGATTTTTCCACGTAAAAATCCCGCGTCTTATTTACTTACTGTTTTAATTAGTATTCTCATTGAAAACTCGTAGAGGACCAGGTACACTATAGTTTGGTAGATTCATATAAACTAGTAAAAATAGCACGGTCTAGCCAGTTTTCGGACTGGTCATTCAAAAATAGCAATCGTTTACCAAGTCAATAAAAAATAGCCACTATTTTATTGCAACAGAGACCGGTCCAGCATAATATACTGGAGTTCGGTGCACCTGTATATGAACATGGAACTCCAACACACGGAAAGTTCCAGCATAATATACTGGGGATTCGAGCACTTGTGTATGAACTTCCAGCATATTATACTAGACAGGTATACTTTGCCGGAAGTCCCGTATATTATGCTGGAGTTCTAGTGTACTTATGCTGGAACTCCATCATATTATGCTGGAGTTGCAGCATACTTATCCTGGAACTCCAGTATAATATGCTGGAGTTCAAGTATACTTATACTGGCGTATTTTCCGGGTTTTGAACAGTGTTTTCGCTCAGATTTATTTTTACATGAAAAGTGGCTAAATTTCGGTTACTTTTGAAATTGAGCTATTTTTGAACGACCACTTGTAAATCTGGCTATTTTTTAATTTCTACCTGTTTATCACGTATGGGCTGTTAAGATTTCAAATATTAATCATGAGATTTTTATCATTAGCCCCAAATCCGTAATCCAAGATGCCATATATATATTAGCGACTATCTTTTTGCATGCAAAATAGAGTAAAAAACGAAAGAAATTGAAATGAGGAGAACATTTCCTCTTGGATAAAAAGTTTTCACCTAATACAAGAATTCCTTTTTCACTGACTCTTTTTTAACAACGGTAGAATTCCGGATTAGTTTACACCACTATTTCATCGGATACTCTACGTTTGCCTTTTTTTAAAAGAGTCACCTAATATTTTTTTTTTTAAAATCTCAATCCCTCACATTTTCTTTTTTCTATCTACCCTATTTCTCTTTAACCAAGCAAAGGAAAAAAGTTTCTCTACTATTTTATCCTATTGCTATTTTGTCATCTTCTTAGTTTCCAAACAATTCTAAAGTTTCATCTCATGTGTACTTATCCTTGGTGGCCAAGTAACAAAGGATGATAAAACAAACGTTTTATTATTTATGAAAATAAATTTTGTTTTATTATCCCAAGGGACAGCTAAGCCTATTTCCCGCTTCATCTTCCCTCGCGTGACCCGTACACACTCCACGCGACTTTTCTCCTGAAACGGAAAGAATCCAAAAATCCACCGCGCTCACCGCTCCCCGGCCATCGTCTTCGCCGGCCACGGCGGCGTAAGAACTCTTCGCTCTTCAAAACATTCTAGGTTTTCACTTTTTCTCATCGGTTTTTAGCTTTTATCTAGTTTTACGATGAGTGCTGAGACAAGGCCAGTAATCACCTCGCATGCGAGAACCACATGGAACTCAGAACCGCTATACGAATCGAAACCAGAAGTTATTTCGCAAGCTTCAACTATACCGGAACTGATTTCTTATCTAAAAGCGGCTTTTCGTGAGAGGGATTTCTCTCTGGTTGAAAAAATTCTAATGGGCCGAGAAAAACAGCTGAGGACAGAAATTCAAAATCTTAAGAGGGATTTTGATTTAGCAGAGAAGGCCCATGCTTTAGTTGAACTGGATAAGTTAAATATGGAGGATCAATTGAATAATTTTCAGAGGAAATGTGAGGTACTGACAAAAGAAAAAGCTGAAGCTGAGGAAAAAGTGAAGGCTTATGAGGAAAAAATTAAAGAGTTGGATGATAGAATGTCAGTCATGGAAGAGGAAATTGCAAAAAAACGTGATGAGGATGTCTCGGTGATCCAAAAAATGGCAGAAGATTGGGAAGCGGCGAAGGAGGTTGTAGAGGAAGGTATTATGCTTACATGTTTTTTTTTACAGTTTAATTGTGTTATGTGTGGGCTTTTCGACATTTTAGTTACAGTTATTGAGTGGCAATACTTATCGACATTTATGCATGAATGCTGTATTTTTTACTTGGTTGTGGACCCAAGTATTTGTGTGGCACCTAAGGTGTGATCTAGTGGTCAATGAAGTGGGAGGAGAATAGTAAGTGATCTCTTCCCATTTGCCTAAGCTTTTGGTGGGCAGAGTTAGTAAGTGTGATGGTGGGAGCTAGCATTTACCTAGGTGCATTCAAGTTGGTTTGGACATTACTGTATAAAAAAAAAGTATTTGTGTGGAACGGTAAATGTGGTAGACTCTGATTTGGTGATTGTGTGCATTTGATGTTGTTTATATTCTTATTTACTTTCAAAGTCTAGCTGCCTAGGAATGACATGGTCACATGGGTGTCGCTGCAGGTAGTGGTAATACGGACTTTGTTTCAACAAAAACAAATATGGATAATTGTCCTGATACCCAGGCATTGCATCGCATGCCTTCTGCTTGTGGTTCTGCTCAAGTAAATAGCAATGTTTCTAACATAGGAAAGAAAAGACGTCGTTCAGAGGAAGCAGGTACTTACTCAAACATGTCTTGTTGTTATTTGTGGCGTTTAACCGACCTCTCAACTAGTTTTGGTTTGAGAAGTGAAGATGTCGGTCCTTTTCGTTCTATGATCAAGAATATTTGCAGTATTATGTCTTGCATGGTATGTAAATTGACCAAGATATTTGCAGCTATATGCTGCATGGTGTGTGAGAGAAAAGTGAAAAAGCCATCATTTTCCTTGGAATTTATTCTTATTCGTTTGAAAACTTTAACAAGCATACTTCGTTGCAGCTTGTGCTTAGCTGAAGAATAGCAAGGTCTTTACCTTGTGTCATATAACATAAATTGAAAAGAAATGCCACCCAGCCTTTTGCATTGCTCTCCATCTTGTTAAAATTAGTGTAGCAACTTGAAGATAGTTGGAAACTAGAATTTAAAATTTCTTGCGGAAAAGTAACAAATGAACTCAGCTAGAAAGTGGAGTAGAAGTCAATTTAGCTCCATGTTTAATGACTATTGGATAGCATCAATCATTATATAAATATCTCATGTAGCTGTTTGACTTGGAGCTACTGCCAGCAGTTTTGAAGAACATTGGATGTATTAGTTATCAAAGAAGTTATATCTTACTAATAAATGATGTTGAACTATATTATGCCTTGTACTAAGGACGAATAAGTATGATGTTTTAAGTCCTTTATCTAATAGTTTAATATACTTTCGGTGAATGCCCCAGTCTCAGTGGTTTCAATATTTATAACTATCAAAACCCTGAATTTGTTACACTGGTAATAGTCTAATAAATGTGCTTGGTTTTATCTCTAGATAGTGGGGCAATAGTGGCTCCTATTCTTAGTTTCTGATGCTCCTAATTTGAGAATTACTTGCTATAATTTAAAGTTGAGCTTATTGTAGTCACTTTTACACTTTTGGCATAACTCAAAGACCATTAGATGGCCTCGGTTTTCTTTCCTTTCAACTCTTGTGTAGTATAACCATGACTCTGATTTGTGATTCTTCACATGATGATTGATTTTAGGAACAATCTGTATACATTTTAGAGGTAATGTGCATATACACATCCACACTAACACAGGTGCATTCATGTGCATTCTATTGATGGCTCTCATACTTTAGTGAACACAAATGTTTCTGAAATCGACATGCTCGTGCAAATTGAATAAATTCTTGATGCTCTCTTTCAGACCCTTTCCCTGTCATCTTGGCTTGTGAGAATAGAGCACCTATTGTAGATCTATCAGCATGTGAAGCAGGAGACTCCATCAAGAATAATTTGGATACAGTACCTGGCAGGGCTGGGTCTTCAATTGCTGTTCACATTAGCGACAGCGATGATGAGAAGGCAAGAAGTTTAATTGAGAGTGACAAGGGTGATGGTAATGGAAAGCTGTCCTTTGCTCATGGCAGTTCCCATAAAACGCGGCTCATAAGAATCTGTGATGACAAAGACGAAGGGAAGTTTTATTCTCAATTTTCTTCCAAGTCTGATCTGTACAAGGTTAATGGGATTAATGATAGTTCGTCGGATTCAGACAATGATTTGAGTGACAGAAGTATGGAGATGCTAATCAAAAGAATTAAAGCTAAAACATTTTTATCAGAAGATGGTTTAAGATCATCCTTTGAGAAGGATGCTGAACTCTGCATGAAAGCGATATGTGCACTTTATAGGCAGCAGATTTCTCCAAACATCTCTTCCAAGGGCCTCTCTTTTACCAAGAGCCAGGGGTTGAGTCAATCTGATAAAATCAGGTATGTGCAATTACTACCTGATCCTGACAGGTTTATCTTTCTAGTGGTAACATTATTAGCTTGATTATTAAACTGCTATTTTACCTTACCAGCATAACCACTAAGCAAATATTGCTGTAAGTGGTTAATAGCATAACCACTAAGCATGTTTCTTCCAATGCCATAATTCTTGTCAATGTGCTGTTCATTTTGTAGATATATTCACTAATAGGTGAATGCATTAATGCATCCTTGTTGTTCTGCAGAAAAGGGACACACAGCTCACAGTTGATAGAAGAAATCAGAATAGAAATCTATTCTAAATGTGAAACTTGTTTTGCAAATTAAAATTGAATGATCAATGAGATTGAATACCTAATTGCAGTGTAAAGACCTTAATATTGAATGCGACATGAAATAATTCATTCTTAATTTGATTTAATGGTACTACAAGTTTCTCCAAAATAAGTTCATAGTGTGAAATTTGGGGCTGACAATCCACTGTCAAGAGTTCTATAAAGTAATACTTTTTCATGCTAAGTGTACTGTTTCTCAAATGCACCATGCTTCCAATTGCCTATAAAAGTTGCTAACTGGGTTTATTTACATAAAAGAATGTCTACGAACCCTCTCAAAGTCCTGATGGTATGTCTTCTTGGGTTGTATAAGGTGCAATGCCTACTTTTGATTTTACAACACGATAGCGTATTGGATTCACTAGTACTTTTTAAATAACTACGTTTTCCTTGCCTCTATCCTTGAGCATGGGCTCTTATTTTGCTTCCGTCGTAATTACATCTTTCAACTTTCATTTCCTTAAAGGTCTCTAGTTAACTTATCGAAGATAAAAATGATGTCTAGTCAATCCAGATGTTTAATTTTCGATAATCAAATCAAAAAGTGGGGAACAACTAATCTTAAGTTAGCTGAACTCATGTATATTGAGAAAAAAGGTAACCAAACCTTTCATTTTTGCCTGATTTACCTATGTCTTGTTTCTAGCAGATGACGTGGGTGCTTGTGTGGATTTTTTAAAATGTTGAGAATACATGTTGAAAATTTAGTCCTGGTTCATGAAAAGTTATAGATGATTATTTTGTCTAAAAGGTTATCTGAACCTCCTCTTCATTGGATTGCGCCGGTCAATTCTCATTACTGACTGTTACAGTATTATCTGTCTCTGCATGGTTTTGCCTGTTAAGGTCTTTGTAACATGAGATCAATCAAATTTTATCCTTGAAGCACACTTCATGTCTTTGGGCTTTAGGTATTAGCAAATTTGTCCTTGTATTCTTCACGCACTGCTTTTAAGCTTCAGCTTTTCTTTGGTGCTAACGAGGCTGAACTTGGAAGGAACATTTAAAGCTGCCTTCATTTGACGGATTAACTCACGTATGGCTTCTGCAAGACTTAAAACTTTCCTCTTTTCTTGGCAGCAATGCTCAAGTAATTGTGTGTTTGAACGACTTAATGTAGAGGTTGGCGTCCAAAAATTCCAGAAGAACGTCATTTTTTTGGGTGTCTACATTAGGTTCAAGGTGGTTAGTGCCAAAATTGTGAAGTTGGAAGGTTAGAAGGTGGAAGTAGTGAGAACATAGGAAGCAAAGACACTTATAACACCAAAACACAAGGGCAACATGCAAATTAAGTAGAAACATTTAAGAGGGGTTTATCTCCTGTAAGGATTGTGTAAAAATACAGACCCAAGACATATATTTGCGACAAGCTTATTGTGGGGATAAGTGATTGGATCCAGTTCTGACTACTTGATCAGATTGTTGGATTTGTTTCATCCAATAGTTGAAATGGAACATGCAATATCCAGTTTCTTTTTATAATCAATGTGATTGTTTTTCTCGAGGCTTTGTATTTTAGTTTCTTTAAACTGGTTTCTGTAATATTTTTCATGTGTTTTTTTGCAGCATAACTGCTTTGGGTGAATATCTGATCGATGGGGATCCACAACATAAACTCAGAAAAGCCGTGGTGGAAGTACGTCCAAAGGATCATGCAGAATGTAAAAGATTAGCAACTAAGTACTGCCACCAACTATATCAGATATATCTTAGCAAGGAGGATCATCTGTTTCGCCCTTGAGCTATATTCTAGTTTACCAGAAAAGCTATCTCCCTTTTTGCTACACAAATGCTGTTCTGACAAAACTTTACTATGGACTTAGTCTTACATATTTTGATCACTCCCAGTCCCAACTATTGCTGCACAAGATGGAAGCTTTTGCTGTTTGTGGCAGTTTTTACTAGCAGGTAGAAACCAAGATATGTCAGTCTGATTATTTTTTGTGACTTTTGGTGTGCATAGCTGACTGATTATGGATAGTTAACAACTGGTATAAATATACTATAGGTTTCATGGTCATAGATGATTCTAGAGATGTAAAAAGTTAGGGGGTGGTGTTTCCGCCAGTTTGTGTATTTTGTATATCCATGATGAAGACTCGTTATTACTCTTTTGTATGTAAAAAATTCTTATATTGGGCGCTTTTGGCTTTGACACCTCTTGATACAATGTTGAAGGAGCTGGCTTTGATTCAGCTTTAAAAGACCTCAACTTATAAGTATTACTTTTAAAAGTTCATCTTATTAACTAATGTAACTAAATTAGTATGTTATTAACCAATGAGCGGAAATGACTTTGGAGGAAAGCAACAAAGGTGTGAATGAGGTTAAGTTTGGTCCCATGGGAATTCCACGTGATACAGAGAAAAAAGACAGTTCATTTTGCAGCTGCAGATGGTGGCGGCCTGACAACCGTTGCTTCATTACCATTTTGCTGCAATTTGCATCTACGCCATACGTGGACAATTCATTGCCACTGCATATATACTTTCTTCAAAATAGAGAGAGAGAGAGATTCATTTTGAACCAAACCAAGCGCCTACCACAATATAATGTGTGGGTTTTTCTACTCTGGTGTGCGTTCTGTTACGCGGTGCCTTCCTGAGATTCCTTGGAAGGGCAACGTAAGGCTAGGCAACTGATGTCAGTGCAGTTGTTGTCCGCCAACTGAGGTCCCCTCTGTATGCTAGACGAGATTGTCAGTGCCGTACGGGAAAACCAATGTCAAGAGCAATTGACAGAACAGAAATGAGAATTCAGAATGAAAGAAAGCTTGATTACATTAATGAAAGCTATTACAGAAAAGCAACGCGGTATTGAGGGGCAGAGACACCAGTACAGAGAATTGCTTGCTTGCTAGAAAGTTTTGATTGCTTGATCCCCCCTAATAATACTTAAAAAAAATAATTCAAAGCTACAAGACTAGACTTGACTAAGCTAGAGAAACATAATGGAAGTACATGAAATAAAACTACTCTATATTTACAATGAAAATGACTTAGTTTTCTATAAGGCAGCAGCATGTCCGTTGTCAGCAGCAGTGTCTTTGGCATCACGGTCTGCGCGCACGGCGTTGTTTGCGCGCACGGCGCTGTTGGCTTTTGCCTGCGGCTTGGCGCTGGCGAGGGATATCGGTGGGGCGACAGAGGCACCTGCGCGCTTGTCACTTGGCGCGGGCAAGACCATGGGACCGTCCGTGGCGCTAGGCATTGGGAGGCTTGCTAGGACGCCACGGGGCGCGCCCAAGGGGTCATGGGGCATGGTTGGAAAGCCGCCCATGACATTCTCCCCCACCTGAGTTGGCGACGTCCTCGGCGCCTTACTTGCAAAATAATCTTCAATGAGGCTCTTGTAGGCTTTGAGGTTTGTTCCCCTCTCCCAAGTATTCTCTTCTGCATCACAGCCCTGCCATTTCACCAAAAACTCTTGGTGATCTTTCCTTGAGGCATGAATCACTCTGTCATCAAGGATAGCTTCAACACGCCTTTTCCCGGTTGAATTGGGATCTCAAATACTGGGTATTGTGAGCTGGCTCCTTGAAGGATCCTCCGTGTCTTCCCGAAAAGGTTTCAGGAGACTGACATGGAAGACAGGATGAATTTTCCACCAAGCTGGGGTATCCACCCGGTATGCAACTTTCCCAATGCGCCTTTCAATGGACAATGGTCCAATGTATATTTGCAATAGGCGAGGGTCACAGACCCCTGCAAATAAGTACCGCTTTGGGATTTTAACCATCACTTTGTCTCCTACTTGATATTCAACAAAGCGACGATTCTGATCAGTATGCCTCTTCATCCGCTTTTGGGCTTTAACAAGATAGCTCCGCACTATCTCCAAATTCCGCTTCCACTCTTTTGAGAAGCTGGCAGCTCGAGGAGATTTAGCCATGTTTGGTGCATTCACAGTGTGTGGGAGTAGCGGTTGCTGTCCGGTAACAATTTCAAAAGCGCTTTTGTTGGTATTAGAGCTCTTTTGTGAATTGAAACACAGTTGAGCAGCATCCAGAAGCTTCACCCAATTCTTCTGCGATCCGGTTACAAAGTGGCGGAGATATTCCTCCAACATACCATTGAACCGCTCCGTCTGGCCATCAGATTGCGGATGAAAACTTGAGCTGTGACTCAATTTTGACCCAAGGCACTTGAAGAGTTGGGTCCAAAAGTTGCTAGTGAAGCGTGAGTCGCGGTCACTAACAATGTCTTTGGGCAGGCCCCAATATTTGACGACATGAGAGAAGAAGAGTCGAGCTGTATCTTCTGCTGATATATATTGTGGGGCTGCAATAAAGGTGGCATACTTGGAAAACCGGTCCACCACAACCAAGATGGTTGTGAGATCTCCGACCTTGGGCAATCCGGTGATGAAATCCAGGGAAACGCTTTCCCAAGGTCTCTTTGGGACAGCGAGTGGTTCCAAGAGTCCCGCTTGTGTCAAGCGGTCCGACTTGTCCTTCTGGCATACTAGACAAGTCTTCACATACTGAGCGACATCATCGGCCATTTGAGGCCAATAATAGGCACGACGAAGTAACGCCATGGTGCGTTCTTCACCGGGATGGCCGGCCCACAGAGTATCATGACATTCCGCTAGAAGAGTCCTCCGCAAATCTCCTTCTTTAGGAACATAAAGTCGGTTCCCTTTTACTTTCAGAAAACTATCTTCCATGTAGAACTGGCGAGTCTTGCCCTGTCCTACCAAATCAACCAAATACTGAGCAGCAGGATCCTTGATGAGTAGATCCCGTATTTGGTCCTTGATGGATGTGGCTACTTCGCTCCCCCTTAGGGTGGCGAGTAGGCACACCGATGCTAGATCAGCTCTCCGACTGAGCGCATCAGCAACATGATTGGTCTTTCCACTGCGATACTCCAAGTTGAAGTGGAATTCAGCTAGGAGTTCCTGCCACCTGGCCTGTCGATTGTTCAGCTTCGGCTGGGTCATGAAATGGCTAACAACTGTGTTGTCTGTCTTGACCACGAACGGGGTTCCCAGCAGATAGTGCCTCCAGAGGCGCAAGCAGTGGACGACAGCCAATAATTCTTTCTCATGGGCGGCATAGCGCCGCTCTGCATCCTTCAGCTTCCGACTCTCGTACGCTACAGGGTGCCCTTCTTGTAGCAGGACTCCACCGAGTGCATAGTCAGAAGCATCTGTTTGTACCTCAAACGGCTTGGCCAAATTAGGAAGGGCCAAGACGGGACTACTAGACATAGCCGCTTTTAATGCGTTGAAGGCCTCTGCTCTCCTTGGTCCCCAATCCCAAGGTGTGACCTTTTTGAGGAGTTCTGTCAATGGCACTGCGATAAGTGAGTAGTTCTTCACAAACCGCCGGTAGAAGTTGCATAGGCCAAGGAACGCCCTCAAGGCGTGGACATCCTTAGGTGTCGGCCAATCTGTGATGGCCTGGATTTTCTGCTGGTCCATCTTGATGCGTCCTTCCTCGATGACATGTCCGAGGAAATCAATTTGCTTCTGAGCAAAGGAGCACTTGGATAACTTTACATATAGTTCATGTTCTCGCAACCGAGCTAGGACCTTCCGCAAGTGTACTAGGTGTTCTTCCAATGTCTGGCTATATACCACAATGTCATCTAAGTAGACCACCACAAATTCGTCGATGTACTCTCGGAAGACTTGGTTCATGAGAGTGCAAAACGTAGCAGGGGCGTTGGTCAAGCCGAATGGCATGACCAGGAAGTCGTACGACCCATATCTTGTCACACAAGTCGTCTTGTGTTCATCACCCTCTGCAATCCGAACTTGCCAATAACCTGTCTTCAGATCTATCTTGGTGAACACCGTAGCACCACCCAGTCTATCAAACAAGTCCGCCATTAGGGGAATAGGGTACTTGTTCTTCACGGTGATTTTGTTTAGAGCTCGATAATCCACACAGAGTCGCAGGCTGCCATCATGTTTCTTTTGGAATAGAACAGGGGACCCATATGGGGACTTGGAGGGTAGAATGATCCCTGTATCAAGCATTTCCGTCAATTGTCTCCGAAGCTCGGTGAGTTCGGGTTGTGACATTCTGTAAGGCGCCCGGGCAGGTGGCTTCGCGCCCGGCACCAACTCAATTTCATGGTCCACAGTGCACCTAGGCGGGAGCCGCTTTGGCATGTCTTGTGGCATGACATCTTCAAACTCCAGTAGTAACTCCTTCACGGGTTCAGGAATGGGACCCGAGGAGCGTTCTATATCTTCAATGCAGAGGGTTGCCAGGAACGTAGGTTCATTCCTTTTGACCCTCTCTCTCAACTGCAAGGCCGAGATGTTCTCAACGGCCATCTTCATGGGCAGGCACGGGATAATGCAGGGCTTGGCCCTATTGGTACCCATCATCAGTAGCATGTCTGCAAATGGTACAGGCATGGTGTTGGTTTGCCTNACTGCGCAGGCACAATTTTTTTATGCGTTTGACAAATACCTACTGAATTAGAGTATATACAAATGTAGTGAATCTATTCTCATCTTAAAGACCATTAAAGAAAGGATGTTGGGAGGAATTGAATGTGGCGGATTTCATCTCAATGGTAGATAGAAATTAAATATTAGTGGGGCCCCTTAATTTATCAGTGGTCAATTGCTAGATCAAATGGGATTTTGGAGAAGCAGATGCTTTCCAGTATTTATTGATGTACATGCACAAAGATAGAAGTTGGTCCCTCCAACCTGCAAAATTAGCACTATGTCCTAATCTTTCTTCTTCTTATAAGTTACCTCTTTTGACGGTAGACACTTCCAAGAGGTACAATACCAAAATTTTGTTGGATCATATGCATTAGTGTTGTTGTTACTGTTAAGAAAAGGTATACGTGTGTATATGTGCGTGTACGCCTACCGCCTACGGGTGTGTGTGTCAAACTGAAGGCAATAGGTGCAGGGAGCTAAAGGTAACGAAGGGTTTTTTTTATTGAATCCCCCTAAGCTTAAAATTATATTGTGCAATAAAGTTTGTATATATAGTTGTTGAATTTTCTTAATAAAAAGGAAGTTTCTATTGTAATGAGAAATTTGATTTAAAAATTGCTTTAGGGTTCGAATCATGTGACATTTTTCCATTTTTTTAGAATCCCCTTTATTATAATTTGTGACATTTTCCATTTTTTAGAATTCCCTTTATTAGAATTTATGGCTCCGCAATTCGACGTACA